GTGTTACCCATTCTGACGTCAGAAATCTAGTTGAATGCTACGAAACTGCGTCTAGAAATCGTCCATCAACATCTTCTATCCAACACATGTTTTACCAGAGCTCATATTGCAATTTTTGTTGTTATCGCTTTTCTTTGGCACTCCTTATTACTGGTTCCCATATTGTATTCATTTCTATGCTTGGTCAGCTCAGGAGATTTTTGTTGCCTAGCATATATGATGATTCCTTTTTTTACGAGTTTTCCAATGATGTTCTTTGTCTATGATCTCATCCCACAGAGGGCGGTGATCTCCCTTTTCTCTCCATATGTGGTCAGCCACGCCTGATTTTTCCACTTGTTTTCCTCGTGTTACAGCTTTCTGGTGTTCTTGAAGCCTTACCTTAAGGTGGCAGCCTGTCTCTCCTTTATATTCCTTTCCGCAGCTGCATGGAATAGCGTACACACAGTCTTTTGTCATGTTCTCCTCTATGGGGGGGGTATCTTACTCGGAAGAGATATCTGCTAAATGTCGTCTAGTTTTTGAAGATTGTCCTGATGTTATATGGGCCTGGTAAAAACATGCAATGATAACAGCGAAAATTGCAATATGAGCACTGGTAAGAAAATGGTTGCTGAAGTCATTAGCTTTATAATACCCAGGAATTCATACACAGATACCCTCAAGGACACATGGCACAGCGGATAAAGGCGTTAGTTAGATCCAGTGACATGACCAAAAGAGTGTGAATTCAATACCTGGTTAAGGCGGTGGACAACTTGGAGAGGGTAATTAACAGGGGATAACTGATAACTGACATCCATTAGATATGGCACGTGGCACTAGAAGAGTGAGCGAAATATAGGGTTCAGTTCGACATTCCCACCACCTGATGAAGGCCGGAGCGTACAACAGCCGAAACTTTGTAATAAATATGGCGACAAAATGAGTCCGAATAATGTAAATAGTGTACATAATACCTCATCTCAGAAATATAGACAGATAGGATATAGACAGATACGTGTTGTTTTTAATGTTCAAAGTTTAATTGCGAAAGCCTCAAAGTGGGAGTTGCTTGAGAACCGAAGATAACGGTCCAACATCAGGAGTCTTTTAATCAGCAATACCAGTCTTTCATGTATGAACCAAATTTTGCAGCTGATGAGAAACGACATATTGCAGAAAATGAAAAAAAAACTATTATAATAAAAAAAAGGAAAGCATAGAAACACTAAAATCAATACTCTATACCTAAAAAAAATCTTTGGAAATCCTTGATTTTGTCTAGTGGAATTTTATAGGTGTCGTCCATTACGAGCTTCTGGAGCAAGGAAGGACCCTCACTGCAGATGTTTATTGCGAAGAATTTGATCGAGTACATGAAGCATTACAGCGAAATTTTCCGGCAATACGAACCACAAGAAAAAAAATAAGATAATTGGAATGAGATATATTTTCGAACTCTCTGTACTCTCCAGAGTTAGTAACTTGATATTTTCTCTTGTTTTGATCACTAGAGAATTACATAAGCCGCCGAACAAAAGAAATTACGAATTTCATATATTTATCAGTCGACAGACCAAGGAAGAAATATCTGAATTGTAGGACCTCTTAATTGCTGTTCTTCAGGTCCAGCCACACCCGAGGAGGTAGCACTTGTTGTGGTCTCAGTTATGAACAAACATTTCGTCTCCAACCTGGGTTCGAAACAATATGAAAGTGTAAAAATAGATTTTATAGTAACAATAGCAGCAATACAATTTGGGAAAAAAATATTACCATCATCCATTTTCCAAAATGAAACCTGATCTACAAACCGATTTCTTACAAAGAATATATTTTCTATTCATACGAAACTATCCTAGAAATCTTGTCGGTATTAAATAACCCATTGAGTTTGATATGACGAAAAACAAAATAAACCAAACCAAACCTGGATGGCGGGAAACTGCGTATATATTTTGTTTTATCCATATGACGGTGTGTCGTTTATTGCACATTTCAGTTTTTAGCCCATTATAACTTTAAAAAACAGATATTTACCATTTTTCATTGACAGAAGATTTTAACAAGGAATAACCAAACATTTATTTTCCCATCGGATTGTTATAGATGATGATAAATGTGTTTTGCATGTCAATGTAAAATGAGAAACTAGTGCCTATCCATAAGTCTGGACTCTCTGTATCTGGAGAAATATTTCGATTTAGTGGAACAAGGATGGACCATTCTTAATGTCAAACACTTGATCGGATAAAGGAAGAATTATGTCGAAAGAGAAGAGGTGTTATTCTCCGGTAAGAAAAGTCATAAATATAAAAAATAAAAACAAAGAAAAAAATCTACTTAAGATGGAAGCCACTCCCATGTCCTCCATATTCACCAGCTTTGTTTTGACCACTAGTAGAGTTCATAAGTAGAAGAACATTCAATGGAGTTGAAAACAATTATTCAGTATTTTCGGAAAGAATCAGTCATTTTAAAACGTGGAATGGAGCATTTACTTTCACTTTATCATTGCGAATAAAGCTGATGAGATTGTTTTAAAATAATATTTATATAAAATTACTTAAGTAATGGCTTGTTAACAGTTACCACTCAAAAACAAAAAAAAATTATCTTTTAATCGTCTGAGCAAGCCCATGTTGCTGTCTATCAGCATGGTTGAAGCTAACCTCAGGAGAGTGATTCTTTGCGCTTTCTCGAGCTAATGTTTTCTGCCCACGCTAGAATAAGTTGTTCTGGATAGTTTCCCCTTTGAATGTGAAATCAACAACACTCGTTCCTTTCCTAGATATCTTGTTACACAAACGCAATAGCAAACTTAATTTTGACAAAAAAGCTACCAACAAATACGGTCCGGTCAGTTTCTACTCAAACCAGTCATCTAAAATAAAATCTGGAATAATTATGATTTTTATTTAAGAGCATTAAGAATTTGCAACCCCCAATATTTACCCAAATAAGAAACATACATCGAAACACATGCAAAAACCTACATTACCCATATAAAAAAATATACAGCTACGAAAATAACATCATCCATAATAATAAATTATACAAGAACACATATATAATACTACCAACCAAATCTGTAACACCCGCTATCCAGATCAACATATGTCATCTAAACAAAATCTGAATAATCACTAACACTTCCAAAACCATTAGGGATATAATCAGATCTACAAACGTCCATAACAAAAATATTTCTGAAACAGGTATATATAAAATAAATTG